TTAGAAAAATTTAGTAACCTCTCTTTTTTTAAATAGTTACCTTTTTAATTTTGGCAAGTGACAGTATTGATGCGACTTTTTTCCATTTATAGTGATAATGTCGTTTCCTTTTAAAATTAATTTGTTTAAATAAAAAGGAACTCAAGAGAGATAAGTAAGTAGATATTAGTATAGATGGTACATCGGCATAGATGGCAGAGCTCACGATGACAATGAATGAACAAGGTAAGTCTGGGACAAAGGGGTGCTGGGAGGTACCCAAGTTCTGGGGAGACCTCAACTTAAATCCTGTTTTGCTGCTTCCCAGCTCTGTGGCTGTGGGCAAGCCTCTTTGAGTTTGTTTCCTCAGGTAGAAGTGGGATGATGCCATCTCCTCTGAAGGGAGGCTTGTTGTGAGATGACCCAGGGAAAGCCTGGCTTGGGAGACCACACTAAGCGCCACTCCACCACCTGCATCTGGGAAGGCACTGCTACCCAGGAGAAGCCTGAAGGATACAGCCACGGCCAGGAGTATACATGCTTGGTGGGGGTGAGTGGTGGGGAGAGATTCTAAGAAGGTCCATCACACTGAACAAGGAGTAGGAAAGCAGAGAATGAGGGACTTCACTGTTGGTCCAGTGGTTAAAACTCTGTGCTTCCACTGCAGGGGGCACAGGTTCAGGGAACTGAGATCCTGCATGCCAAACAGCATGGTGAAAAAAAGAGAAGGAAAGAAAAGAAAGAAGAGAGCCAGTGAATATGGAGCACCCACACAGACACAATTCCCAGGTACTTCTTCCTTAGGGGAAATCTGAGGCCCACCCTCAGCAGGGGAGGGTGGACCCCAGAGGCCTGGACTGCAGGGCCCTCTGGTGCATCTATTTCCTGAAGCATGCCAGGCTTTGGGAGTTTGTTTCTTTTAGCATCCCAGGTCCTCCAGAGGCCTGGGCAGAGAACCAAGAACTCTCTCTACTTTCCACAGTAAGAGAGACAGATCTAATTCATTAAAACCCTTCTCCCCAGTTAGAGGGCATCCAGCCACCTGGACAGAAGGGGACCAATCCTTCAAGCGCACTGAACCACTGGATCTAGACAGCAGGCGAAATCTCAGGACAGCAGGAAGCTCATGAAACCTCTGACTGACCCCTGCACACCCACAGCTCTCACTGTGGGGAAAGTTTGCTTTGAGCTCTGCACTCAGATCGACACATCAGTTTTTACTCATTTCTTAATTAGGAATATCTTCTACATGCCAAGTGATGTGCCAGGTACTACAGATCTCAGGTGAACAAAAAAAGATCTAGTCCTTGTCCTCATGGAACTTGAAGTCCAGCAGGGTTGTTGTTCAGTTGCTCAGTCATGTCCAACTCTTTGTAACCCCATGGACTGCAGCGTGTAAAATTCCTTGTCTATCCCAACTCCCGGAGCTTGCTCAAACTCATGTTCATTGAGTCGGTGATGCCATCCAACCATCTCATCCTCTGTCAGCCCCTTCTCCTCTTGCCTTTAATCTTTCCCAACATCAGGCTCTTTTCCAGTGAGTTGGCTGTTCGCATCAGGTAGCCAAAGTATTGGAGTTTCAGCTTCACTATCAGTCCTTCCAATGAATATTCAGGGTTGATTTCCTTTAGGATTGACTGGTTTGATCTCCTTGCAATCCAAGGGACTGTCAAGAGTCTTCTCCAGCACCACAGTTCGAAAGCATCAATTCTTTGGTGCTCAGCCTTCTTTGTGGTCCAACTCTCATATCTATACAAGACTATTAGGAAAACCAAAGCTTTAACTGTACGGACCTTTGTCCAGTGGGGAGATAGTCATTAATCAAAGAATGATGGATTTAAAATGGATAGGTCAGGGAGGGCTTCTCTGAGGAAGTGCACCTGAGCAGAGATCTGAAAGAGGATAGGAGTGAAGAGAGAAAGGGAGGAAAGAGAATTCTGGGCAGAAGGAACCACATGTGCAAAGGCCCTGTGGTGGGAATGGTCATGGAGAGGGTGAGAGGCTGAAGAAGCCTTGAAAGGGCAGGAGCAAAGAAACTGAGAGCTGTGCCAAGACAAGGTTTAAGACGTGGGCATCCCATACAGGACCATTACAGGTCATGTTAAATATTTTCTTAAAAAATATTTTATTTTTGGCTGCATTAGATCTTTGCTGTGCATGGGCTTCCTCTAGTTGTGGCAAGTGGGGGCAAATCTCGAGTTGCAGTGTGTGGGCTTCTCATTGCAGTGGCTTCTCTTATTCGCAGATCATGGGCTCTAGGGTAGCTGGGCTTCAGTAGCTGCAGCCTATGAGCTCAGTAGTTATGGCACATGGGCTTAGTTGCCCTGAGGTACATGGGATCTTCCCAGACCAGGGATTGAACCCATGTCCCCTGCACTGGCACGTGGATTCCTAACCACTGGACTACCAGGGAAGTCCCAGAAATTTTTTTTCCCCCAGAAGGTTTGAATACCTTGTATTTTATCTATTTATTTATTTTTAAGGTTTTTTTTTTTTTTCAACTTTATCATTTTTGGCTGTGCTGGGTCTTTGTTGCTACATGGGCTTTTCTCTAATTGCAGAGAGCAGGGGTGTGCAGGCTTCTCATTTCGGGAGCTTCTCTTGTTGCAGAACATGGGCTCTAGGGTACATGGGCTTCAGTAGTTGCAGCTCCCGGGCTTTAGAGCACCATCTTAATACTTGCAGTGTACCAGTGTATTTGCTCCAAGGCATGAGGGATCCTCCTAGATCAGGGAGCAAGCTCACATCTCCTGCACTGGCAGGTGGATTCTTTACCACTGCGCCACCAGGAAAGTCCCAGAATTTTCATTTTTATTTAAGAGCAATTGAAGGGTTTTCAGAAAGGGGAAGCAATGGCTGGTACCGTGAGTTGGAATACACTGATTTCAGGGCTGCAGGTAGAGAACAGATCTGAAGGGGGTTCAGATGGCCATAGTCGTTGTCCAGCTGAAGGATGCAAATGACTTTGACCATGGTGATGATGCTGGAGACAGAAAGAAAGTGGATGGTTTCAAGAGCTATTTTGCAGGTAAGTCCACCAGCCTTGAGATGTAATGGATGGAGAGGGAGGGGTTCAGCACAGTTCCTAGCTTAAACAACTGGATAGAGGCTGATGCCCTTCACGGAGAGACTACAGAGGAAGGCTAGGGAGGTTTTGGGGGGTCGGTGAGGTAGGGGGAATAGCCTCGTTCCCTTTTGGATGTGCTGAGTTTGCAGGACCTTTGAGATACACTGGAGGAGCCAAGCTGGCAGTCAGACATGCAGGCTGGAGCTCAAAGGAAACTGTGGTTTGAAACACAGATTTGAGAATTGTCCACATTCAGGCAGTACTGGGGAGTTTCCCCGGTGGCTCAGTGGTAACAACAAGGTGGTAATGGATACCCGGGTGTGGGTGAGATCACAAGAGGGAGTACCGAGAGAAAAAAGGATGACTCTTAGGACAGCATCAGGGGGAACTTCAAATTCTGCAGGGGGGTGGGGGTGGGGTGCCAATGTGCCTCCAAATAGGTAGAGGTATGACTGGGCAGGCAGAAGGAAACGCAAGGAAATGCTGAACCATAAAAGCAAGGGAGGTTTCTATCATTGGTCAGAAGGGACAGTAAAGCTTTGAATAATGATCACTGGATTTAGCAACTTGGAGGTCCTTGTGACCTTGGTGAGAGATGCTTTCATCAAACAATGAGGTGGGAAGCTAGAGAGGTGAAGACAAGGAAAGGATGGGAGACAAGGAAGTGGAGAGGAGTGTAGTCATTTCTTGGGAGAAGCTGACTTCTGCAAAGAAGGAAAGGAAAAGGTTTCATGTGCCAGGAGCCACATTCACCCCGGCTTTTCCTAGACCTAATTCTCGAGCCCAACTTGTTTTGCTGGTTCCCCTCCATGCCTCTCCCTTTCTCCTCAACATCTATCTTGAAGCTATTTGGAACAATTAAGTAGGAGACTTCCCTGGTGGCTCAGACGGTAAAGAATCTGCTTCCACTGCGGGAGACCCAGGCTTTGATCCCTGGGTCAGGAAGATCCCCTGGAGTAAGGGAATAGCAACCCACTCCATTATCCTTGCCTGGAGAATCCCATGGACAAGAGAGCCTGGCGGGCTACAGTCCATGGGGTCATAAAGAGTCGGACACGACTGAGTGACCAACACACAGACACAAGTAGGAGGCTGACCTTTAATCTGATCCTTCCTGAGACACTTCATCCAAGGAAAAGTCTTACAGGGCCTTTGTTGCCCGAAGCTTTGCCTACATCTTATCTTTGTCAATTTAGAGCATAGCTTTTTAACCCTGGAAGGCCCAAGATTTCTGGGTTCTATTTCCTTTCATACCTGGTGAATTTCAGACACCAGGTAATTCTTGGCTGAGCTCATCTCTTCCTTATAAATCCTCACCAATTGCAGCCAATAGTAACCAGCAGGGGTGGCTGGTTTTCTGCTTTCCAGCCTCTTGTGGGCTGTCAGCCTGGTAGACACATGGGCTTCCTTCCCAGTCAGAGCAGGCAGTAGCTTTACCCACGTTTTGCTAGTGCAGAACATACAACTCTTGCTTTTCAAGGGTCCTACCTCAGTTTCTTTGTTTCCTTCTGCTCAAGTGCTGAGCCAACGTCACCACAGGCGAGTAACTCAATTCCTCTGGGCCTGTATCTTCATTGGCAAAATGAAGACAACCGTACAACCTACTTCATAGGGCTGTTACAGGAACTGAGTGAGTCAACGCAGGTGCTGTGTTAGGCCAGTGTGCGAGCACTCAGTACGTGCTGCCTGTTCAGATGGTTGAGGAGGAATTACATGTGCTAGTATGAGACGGGCACTATGCTTATGAGAGTCTGATATGCTAAGCAGCCACCTTTTTAAAAGTGCTAAAGTGAGGCGGTCACCTGCCCAGGAGACAGGCTGCTCACTCACACTGGCCGGTCAGTGATTCTTCTCTATAAGCACGTCTATCTAGGAAGCCCGATTACCATCTGTGTCAGTTACCAACAGTTACGATAATAATGCTGCATCACAAATCACCCCGAAACTTGGTGGCTTAAAGTAATAAGCTTTTATTTACCTAAAGGGTCTCTGAGTTTGCAATCTGGACTGGGCTTGGCTGAGATAGGGTTGGGGCCATCTGCCTATCAGCTGGCTTCGGCTGAGGGGACAGGTATGACTTGGACACACGTCTCTCACTCTCTGGAAAGCTCACCTGGGGAGACTTCCAGGTGGTGGCAGTAGGGTGCAAGAGCTCAGGCAAGCCCAATTGTGCAAGCGCTTCTCAAGGCCCCGCTTACTTGGTAATGGAGGTAGCAGATGGCTTCGGAGCACAGGCACTGGAGGCCCACTGTCCAGCTTCCAAGTCCAGCTGCCCCAACTTCTGGCCTCTGATTTGGGGCAAGCAGCTTAATCTTACCAGGCCTCACTTTCCTCACCTGGACAGAGGAAATGATAGTTGTGCCCACCTCGGATCCCTGGTTTGAGGCCTGAGTGACGTCATCTGAGGAGTGCTGGGCACACCATCAGCCAACACCACTGGCCATGACGACGTCACTCAGGTGCCAGGCACCGCGCCGAGCACATCCCATGTGTGACTTTTGTCTTTGTGCCCACACATGAGGTGGCTCTTTGACCTTACCTTTTACGGATGAGACACAGAGTGTGGACAAGGTTAAACAGCATGCCCAAGGTCACCCAGCTGACCAACGGGAGAGCCAGGATTCTACCTTGGGTCTGTCTCCCTAAACTGCTCTGCTCTATTTCTCCAACCCGTGTCCCCGGGCATCACCAAATATGAATGTTCCACAACACAGAAAGTAACTGAAACCTACTGGGGAACTATGGTCATTGTAACGTCATAATTTGCTTTTTAATGCTACATGCTGTGATGTGTAGTTACGGAAAGTGTGTTTATGTTGTCCTCTTAGAGAACAGTCTCATCCTTGGCAGGGATATTTGGATTCGGGGGGGACCTGGGACCCAGCTGAAGACTTTACTTCTCAGGCTACAAGGAGGACTGATCTCCTCTTTGGATGCCTGATAATATTTATCTTCGATAGCTTCAACTTTTCTACCGTCCTCCCTGAAATGTCTGGTGCCTGACATTCCCCCCCACCCCCCGAGATTTGTTTTTTAAAGGCAGAGGAGCACTCCTTGCCTCAGGTCACTGTCCCACTGATGCCCCCACGCCTGACGGGGGTGGGGAAGATCCTAATGCCGGTCCTCACCTCCAGAGGGTTCACTGGGAGACCAAACACGGTGGCTGAGCTGGGAGCTGATGCGCACTCTTGGCCCGACAGCTGCAGGACGGCAAGTCCTCCACCCTGACACGACCGCCTGTGCTAACAACAAGTTACCAGACAAGTCTCAGCCCTGCTTGCTGTTTACGGCCATGTGAACTTCCCCATCACGAACCTCCCTCTGTGTAGCAGATGGACGGAAAGATAAAAGTAAACTCTCAACTTGCCCAGCGGAATCTTTCCCTGGGGCTGTTTAAAAGTGTGAGTGAGGTTTGTACCAGTTGCCGCCCTGGCTGGAGCTGAGGAGACGGGGCACGTGACCTCCCGACGGTGGCTTGTGCTGGTCAGAGGTGGCTCTGTAGTGACCCCGACAGATACGCCCCATCTAAGGTCCAGAGTTGGGCAAAGGAGATTTGGCTTATGGATTCTGAAGACTTAAAATGATTAAGAGAATAAATGCTGGGGAGAAGACAGCTTTTACTGCCCCCACTTGACGTCTGATGTGGGAGCCTGTGTGACAGGTCTCACGAGATCTCTACAGGTGGGGAGGGGCAGGGCCAGATGCCCGTGTGCACACGCTCTGAATGAGGTCAGCGAGCAGTGAGGTGTCAAACGGAGAGGAATGAGTCCAGATTCTGGTTCCTCACAGATCCTTGGGGGGCTGCTGGCCCTCGCTGTATGTTTATTAATTTTAAAAAAATGTCCTGTGGCCGGCCTAGTTTCACTCAATGCCTAATAAAGGGAAAAACTGTTTACATAGCACCCCTGGGTCTGACACCGAGCAGCTGAAGTTAGTAAGATCCTTCACTTCCAGAGATGACACAGACCAGCAGCCTGGGAGGAAAACAACCTCTTTAGAAGCATGCCGTCCCCAGGTGAAAGTGGCAGCTGAACCCCTTATATTAAATAAGACAAAAATCAGGCGAGGAGAGATCAAACCCCCAGGGGAAAAAAAGCCCAAACTGCATACTTGGCTGCGGAGATATGCTGTCCAGGAGTCTAGGATAGTTGGGTCACAGCCCAACTGTCATGTGTGCTTCTGACAGTCCAGACATCTCTCTACATTAACATTCTCCTCACGGTACATCAAACAAGGCCAGAGAGATTGGCCAGGGTCTGCAGTGAGCTCCCTGGGCCATCAAAACTGGCTTCTGCCCTCCATTTCTCACTCCCATTCCTTGCTTAGATGATCATGCTACAAATTTTTCCTTCAGAGGCCTCGACATAGGGTCTGTTTTCTCTCCAGTCTTCACTGGCTGGTTAAGACACTCTGTGGTTCTTTAACAGGCCTGGCTTTCCTACCGGCAGAGGGCTCGGCCCTGCATGAAGCTCTGGTGACCTTGCTGACACGCCAGGCCTTTTGCGTTAAGATACAAGTTCTCAGACTGAAGCCATAACCAAAAGCTGACACCTAACATCGACCAAGAGCTTACTGTGTAATGAGGACAATGAAAGTCTTGAGACATGAGCTTTATCTCTTCATGTCTGATCTTCAGAAATAGTTAAGACAGGGAAAGTCATCATCCCTGTTATACATACGAGGAAACTGAGGCTCAGCCCCATTCACTTACCCAGCAAGTGGGCAGTGGAGCCAGGATCTGACTTGTACCTACTGCCAGCCCTGCTTCTTCCCTTAGAAGAGCCACCTTGGGTGACTGAGTTCTTCTTTTGGGAAGCACCTGGCAGCTTCCTGTCCCCTGCATGACACACAGGTCACAGCTCAGACCTGAAGTCTCTTGGCTGTAACTTCTTAAAGCGAAGATTTCTATAGTTTCTACCAGTAAGGCAGCATGTTCTGGCAGAAAGTTCATGAGCTTTGAAGACAGACTGAACTAAGCAAAGTTTTGGCTTCGTGACTAAATAGTGACTTGATCTGGGACAGACCACTCTTTCAGAGCCCACTTTCTCATCTGCAAAATAGGCATGACAGCTTTTGTCTACAAGAGAGCTGGGAAGCTCTACTGAGATCCCGAAAGTAATGAAAGACTGGTTCTTTCCTCTCCTCTCCTCAGCCAAGGACCCTGAAGGGCGGGCAGGACCACACAGAGGTTCCGTGGGAACCCCACAACTCCACGATGTGGGAACAGGTACATCCTGCCTGTGTGTCTCTGGTATTCACCAACCGCCTGCCTAGCAAGTCTGGCCTGTTTTCTCCAATTCACACCTGTGTCCTGGCCCAATCTGGGTGACATCTGTTCTGTCTGGATGACAGCTCCGAGGGCAAAGTTCCTCCAGCAAGACAAAACCACCCTCCTAGCAACCAAAAGTCTTTTGGTTCTGGAGCTAAACACATTCTGCTAATTCATCCTAACATATTATTTCTTACACATTATCAGTTTATCAACTAAACCAATTGTGGAGACTGCAGAAATACAGAAAACGTTTGCTATAATTGATTCATGGAGATTGTGACCTTGTAAAACTCTAAACATATGCCTGCATGAAAACACACAAAATTAAAATAATTGGGTGAGGGCTGAGTTGTGATTTTCCTTTTTAAAATATTCTTTAATATATACAATTATTGTTCTGTTTATAAAATGAGCATCCTAGAGAAAATCTGCTGAAGATGCTGACTCTTAAGCAGCACGCCCACACTGTTCCTACCCGCTGCCCTCATTCTGCCTGCTGGGTCTTTGAAGGGTTCTACTCAGGGGGCTTGGATCAGCTTCCCCTGGCAGAAAGAACCAACCCAGGCTGGAAGGGGGAATTTCACAGGGACAAAGCCCTGGCTCACCCAGGGAGCTTTCCACACAGCACAGGCAGCTGGCTGCCTCTTCACACCGAGCACACTTCTGGCTGAAGCAGTGAGCTGGCACAATGCTTCCTCCTATGGAGCCAGAGAGAGAGTCAGGCCCGAGTGACAGTAACATGGACAAACTGCTTCTGAGGCTTAGACGGGAGCCGAAGGGTCTTAGCATGAGACATACTGAACATACACATGTCCTTGGAGAGAGGTGGGTCCATCACTGCAGGCAGGACCAGAGGTCCGGGTGGGCTGAGCATCTAAGGAGAAGCAGCACATCAAGGACAGTACCCATCGCAGGCGATGAGCATCCGTGTAGCCCCCAAAGCCAGGCAGGCGGCGGCACGTAGCTCAATGTGGGTTTTCGAAGAGGTATTCAAGATCCGGGGCCCGCAGTCGCTGCTCTTTGTTTTTGTTCTTAGCGAAGTCTCTCAGCAGGGCCATGACCTCGTTTTCAAATATTTCTGGGGCTGGTTTTGCTTCTGTAAGGATGGGCAAAAAGAATTACGTTGGTCAGTCAACTGTCAGATATATAAGGATTTTTTTCTTTTTTAATTTAAATATTTATTTATTTATTTGGCCGCACGGGGTCTTAGTTGCAGCACACAGATCTTCGATCTTTGTTTCGGAGGGTAGGATCCAGTTCCCTGACCAGGGATCGAATCCATGCCCCCCCGCATGGGGAGCATGGAGACTTAGTCACTGGACCACAAGAAAATCCTGATGGTATAAGGACCTTAAAGCTTGAAATTCTGGCCTGGCTTAAAACCACAGTGGGTACACAGGGCAAAATTTCTCTGGACACACACGCAGCCTGCACCACAGGCTGGCAACCTACGGCAGCCGGTATCTGTAAAGAGTGTTATTGGAGCAGCTGCTCTCACTTGTTTACATATTGTCCGTGGCTGCTTTTGTGCGGCGATGGCAGGGCTGAGCAGTTGCCACGAGACCATATGGCTGCAAGCCGACAGCATTTATTATCTGGCCCAGCATTTATTATTTGGACAAGCACAGCTGACCCCTGGCCTGTCCAGCCTTGGCTGTTCTGTTTTGCTTCGCATTCGGTACTCCAGTTGTTTTTGGAATACTGTGTTTTTCCTTCTAGTCTATTAATTTCCTGAGGCAAAAGTCCTTCGATGTTAAGTGATAGCAACTAATAACTCCGGGAAACTTAAAACATAAAAGAATTCACTGGAAGGCTATAACAGAGGCCATAAAACTGACATGAACCTGGAGAACCAGATTTGGATGGAGAGGCAACAAAGGCCCCGAGAGAGCAGAGAGGAGAGGATGCCAGCCTCAGGGTGGCAGGAGAGAGTCTGGCAGATGCTGCACACCTCCGACCTTCTTTCCACCCCCGAGTCTCTCACTTAAGCAAAGCCTCCCAAACAAAGCCTCCTATTGGGAAAGCTTGGGTACTAAGCTTTGGAATTACCCTCCTAGCAACACTAAATACAACGTTAGGAGAGGGCATTCCTCAAAGCAATGTCTGATTTTCCCTCATTCGGCACACAGCTGGCGTCTGGTGGGCCTGGCGTCTGTTGTTTTGTGTGACAATCAGAGTAAGATCCAGGCGATTTCAGTTTCCCCCTAGAATGTTGAAAACTGGACAGAACACCCCACTCATCCCAACAAGAAAAAGTCAGATGAACTAGAAACATCATAACTTTTTTGAAGTCATTAGAGAGCTGAGGTCACAGGCACCCAAAGAAAATAAAACCTAAGGAAAGAAAGGCCCCGCAAAGGAGAAAACGGACATGAACACACACGCTCACTTGAGAAGGCACAGGCAGAAGGGGCACTGGGCACCACACAAACAGGCAAGAATTGAGCTAAAACTGTTCATCACCTGCTGAACGCCAAGTGCAGGTGAGCACGAGTGTAAAATCCCCGGGAGCCACAGACACAAGCGGAATCTGCCCCAATGGGCAGGTTCTCCTCAACAACCCCTCACTGAGATGCTCACGATGAAGACAGCGTCCAGAGCAGGAGGCTGCAGAAAGCCTCCCTCAGTAATGCAGGCCAGGAGTAGGGGAAAACACTGCCCCACCCCCAAAAGCATAAACCCCAGCCTAGTCCTTCTTCTCTACACAACAAAAGCTTCAAGGGTCTGGGAATAGGTCAGTGAGCCCTGTCTCCTACAAGGCACATGTGAGGACCCGCCTGGGCTAGTGAAAGAATAAAAGAAAAAAATCCTCTACCCCTGTGGGACCAGCAGGATCACTGAAAAAGGCCCTCCACCATGACTCATGGTCACAGGGCTGGAAGCTGGACCAAGACAACAGAGAACTGCCTCCCGATCTCCTTCCTGTCCCCAGACTAATAAGCACCACCTGGAAATCAGCAGGTTTCTACTGCTGGGGGAGGGCAAGGGCACAGAGAGCCCTTTTGAGGCACAGAAATGCAGGAAAGTTCACATGGTACCACGTGTGTCCCTGGTGGCTCAGTGGTAAAGAATCCACCTGCCAATGCGGAAGACATGAGTTCAATCCCTGGGTCAGAAAGACGCCTGGAGAAGGAAATGACAACCTACTCCAGTATTCTTGCCTGGGAAATCTCATGGACAGAGGAGTCTGGTGGGTCACAGTCCACCGGGTCTCAAAGAGTCAGACATGACTGAGCACACATGTATGCATATATACTGTAAATCCTAGGGCAATCACCAAAAATATTATAAAGAGATTTAAGAAACCAATGGTGGAGATAAAATGAAATTTTAAATACTCAAAAAATCCACAGAAATAGAGGGGGAAGAGGACAAAAAACAGACAGCAGAAATAGAAAACAACAACAAAAAAAGATGGTAAGTTTTAATTCAATCACATTGGTACTTATATGCAAATGGCCAAAACACACCAATAAAAAGACATAAGATCAGATTAAAAAGAACGACAATATAAGCTATCTATAAGAAGCTCAACAACAACAACAAAAGAAGCTCAACTTCAATATAAAGACAAAGATACATTAAAAGACTTCCAGGTTGGCCCCAAATATTTCCCACTCCCCTGTGTTCAAGCCCTGTGGAAACTAAGTGTAATTATGGTGTATAATTTCTTGAGAAGGGTCCATTAAAAAATGGTGTGTGCTCTCTTACTCTTTTTCCCCGGCTGAAAGATAGACATGACAGACAGAGCCTCGGCAGCCATCTTGAGGTCATGAGGTAGCCAACACGGGGGAGGGTGAAGGAACAAGTCAAGAGGAATCTGGCCTTAATGACTCTGAAACCCCTCTGTGCGCTCTGGAGGGCCAAACTCTGAACTTCTGTTAGGAGAAAGAAAAATGTACTTCTGTCTTAAGCCACTGCTGTTTTGGGGTTCTTTTACTCACAGCCAAAGGTAACCCTAACTATACACAGTGAGAATTCATTCCTCACAAAGCTGGTGCCAGAGAGAGACTCCCAAGGACTTCATGCTAGGCAGCCAGAGCCATCTCGTTCCACTTCATTCCTGCCCTGGTTTTTCTTCAACTTTCCCTTTGATGCTAGGAGTTTCTCATACAATTTCACTAAATTCCCTTTTTGCTTAAGTTAGACGGAATCAGTTTCTATTGCTTGCAAACAAAGGACCTTAACTTATAAGACAAATTTTGTACATATCGGAAAAATCTGAAGAGAGGCTGGGTTGAGTGTCTACTAAAGAAAAACAAATTGCCCATAATACCTTTCCAGACTCAAATCAGCCCACATCATCCTGTTTTTCACCTTATGCTGCTTATGATGCTCAGTACCTGTAGCCCAGTAGTAAATATCCCAGTCGTTACTGGGTTCATTAATCAGGCGATCGTAGAGGTTCAGCTGTTTCTCTGTCATGTGCTGCAGATGTTCCTTAGCGAAGAGGCTACCGTCAAGAAAGAGAAAGAAGTTGAAAAGGCTGTCTTTAGCCAGAGAGAAGCAACCCCCATTTTCCTCTTCCCCTACCTAAGCAGGATGCAGTTTTCCAGCATTCCCCTCTTCCTGCTCTCGTAGAGCAGCCGGGCTCGTTTGGTTTCTATAGATTCATCAGTTCGCTCCTGCCATGGAGGCAAAGGGATTTCAATCATATCCTTCTGGGAATCTGTCGGGCTGTCACCTCTGTAGCAGCGTCTGCATGATGTCATGCTGAGCGAAGGAGACACTAGGTGGCGCCTTGACAGAGCAAGCATCTGAAACAAAAAAGCCACAAACATCTTTTATTCTCTTTTTGGCCAAGGCACGCAGGATCTTAAGGTCCCCAAATAGAGATTGAACTCAGGTCCGTCAGGCTGAAAGCCCAAGTCTTAACCACTGGACTACCAAGGAACTGCCTCCCATAAGTACCTTTTTAACAAGGATGACCATCCTTGTCATTCACTCAGCACATAAACTGGGTGCAAAATGCATCTGATCTCCTTTAGACCTTAAGAAGTTGCGTTGACTTTATAATAACTATAGACGGAGTTTAATCTTTAAAAATTGTGAACTACCATATTATACATCTGAAACTTATAAAATATTGTAAATCAACTACACCTTAATCTAAAAAAAAAAAAGAAATTATGTTGATACTGTCCCCACTTTACAGCTTAGGAAGCTGAGACTCAGAGAGGTTAAATGACTCACCAAGATCACCCAAATATTAAGAATAATTCCTGAGGGTTGGAACCCAACTCTGACGGCAAACATGTTCTTAACCACTGCCTTTCCAGAAAGTCTCCAATAGAAATATTTTCTTCTTTCCTTGCACTCCTTTAGAAGTCTCACAATATGGTTTGCATTCTAGTCACGTGCCTGTGCTAAAATCTGAGCACACAGTGATGGCAGGGCCCCGAACTCCCCAAGGTTTCCCAACCTAGAGAAGGGCAAAAACTATCAAGATGCAATGAGAAGGTGGTAACGTCAGCAAGACGGTGTTAACAGGAAGCCCCACACTTTCCTTCTCCTGTGGAGACACCAACTCTCAACACCACACATGGACCAGTTTCCTTTATGAGAAATCCAGAAACCAACTAAGAGGCTCCTAAACCCCAGGTGAGCACAAAAACAGCTGCATCACAGCTAGAAAATTCATGGGCCTCATTCACCATAGTCCCTGCCCCTGGCTCAGCCCAGTGCAACTGGAGAAAATTCTCAGCCACCAGCTTCTCCCTGGGGAGGGAATGAAAAGACTGAAACATAGGTCCAACATGTGACCTTTCACAGGGAGGCCTGATTGACTAGTTTCCGTCCTGTTTGAATTGAAACGTGACAGAAAAAGTGCCAGGCTGGGGGCTGCTGAGAACTAGGTGAGGATTTGGACTAGCACACCCTTACTTGCCATTGTCCCTACCTGTGGCTCAGCACAAAACTGTAAGAAAACCCCCAATTCTTGGCTTTTCTCTGGGGAGGAAGAGTTTGAATGTGTGTCCAATGTTTCAGCTTTTTGAGTAGCTGCCTGAAAGAAAGTTTTCTTTTTTTCTTGTGTCAGGGCACTAACAGGACCCAGTATACTCCAGATATCTGGGGGTCTCTGAAAACAAAAAAAGCTGGGTGGCTTGCTGCTGCTCTGAGGACCCATGGTGCAGCAGACAGAGGCCAACAGAAAGAAAAAGGAGCATGCATCCCAAGCTCCTGCTTTCCAAGGAGCTGTACAAGAGACTAATTTCCGTCTTGGCCAACCTGCAGCACTCATGGGACCTGGGATACTCTAGAAGCCTGGAATGGGCTGAGAAGAGCTGGAGGCTTGCGGCAGCTCCAGAGAACCTGCAGTACCATAAACAGACACAAGAGGGAGCAAGAGATTATGCGCACTTGAAAAAAGACGACAGCAAATCCCTCTGGTTGGGAATTTATGTCGTCCACAAGTCTAGAGAAGACATTTCCATAAAAAAGGTTTGAGAGGCCCCCAGATTCTCTGGCAGGACTGATGGGAAAAGATCTTTTCATGTACAAAAAAAAAAATGGGAGGTGGTTATTTTTTCAAATGCGTGGATCTAAGCACAAAGTTCCAAGGTGCATGAGAAAGAGCAAAACAAAGCCTAACCAAGTACACAAAATAAACTTCCAGCAACCAACCCTGGAAACAGACATATATGAAATTACCTGACAAATAATTCAAAAAAAGTTGTCATCAAGATGTTCAGTGAGCTGAAGAAAACAACGGATAACCAACTGCTGGTAGAAGTTTTTTTTTTAACTGGAACTAAAGAATAACAATTTTGAAAAACTCACCACAGAGGTTAAACAGCATACTTGATCAAACAGAAAAAAATCAGTGAACTCAGTTTACTTGAGACTATCCACTCAGAGGAAGAAAATGAAAAACAAATGAGTGAAAAAAAATTAAAAAAAAAAAGAAAAACAAATGAGTGAGATAAGCTTGTGAGACATCACCAACCTGACCAATATAAATACTACGGGAGTCCCAGAAGGAGAAAAGAGAAAGGGGCGGGAAGATTATTTGAAGGAAAAATGGCTCAAAACTTTCCAAATTTGGGGAAAGAAATGGACATCCAAATTGAAGAAGCAGATGATACCACCCTAATGACAGAAAGTGAAGAGGAACTAAAGAGCCTCTTGATAAAAGTGAAAGAGAAGAGTGAAAAAGCTGGTTTAAAGTTCAACATTCAAAAAACTAAGATCATGGCATCCAGTCCCATCACTTCATGGCAAACAGATAGGGAAACAAAGGAAACAGTGAGACTTTATTTTTTGGGGCTCCAAAATCACTGCAGATGGTGAGTGCAGCCATGAAATTAAGACGCTTGCTCCTTGGAAGAAAAGCTATGACAAACCTAGACAGCATATTAAAAAGCAGAGACGTTACTTCGCCAACAAAGGTCTGTATGATCAAGGCTATGGTTTTTCCAGTAGTCATGTATGGATGTGAGAGTTGGACCATAAGGAAAGCTGAGCACCGAAGAGTTGATGCTTTTGAACTGTGGTGTTGGAGAAGACTCTTGAGAGTCCCTTGGACTGCAAGGAAGTCCAATCAGTCAATCCTAAAGGAAATCAATCCTGAATATTCATGGAAGGACTGATGGTGAAGCTCACCTGATGTGAATAACTGACTTACGAGAAAAGACCCTGATGCTGGGAAGGATTGAAGGCAGGAGGAGAAGGGGACAACAGAAGATGAGATGGTTGGATGGCATCACCGCGTCAATGGACATGAGTTTGAGCAAGCTCCAGGAGTTGGTGATGGACAGGGAAGCCTGGCGTGCTGCCGTCCATGGGGTCACAAAGAGATGGACACTGAGCGACTGAACAAACAAAAAGGAGCCAAAGGACAGTAGAAAATAACACAAAAGCAAATGAAAGCACAAAGCTCACTGGTAAAGGTATATTACGACAAACGCAGGCTACTATAACACTGCAATGATGGTAGGTAAATCATGTTTAATTCTGACTTAAAAGTTAAAAGACAAAGACTTTTAAAAAAAAACTATAAAGTACACTAGTGGATACAGAATAAAATATGTCATTGTAATATCAGTAACATAAGGTGGGAGGAGTAAAAGGAGTTTTTGGATGAGACTGAAGCTATTATCAGCTTAAAATACATTATAAAATGCTTAATGCAAGCCCTATGGTAACCCAAAGCAAACATTTATGCACAACAGAAAATGAGAAAGGAATCAAAGCATGTCTATAGAAAAAAGTCAATAAAACACCAAAGATGACAGCAAGAGAGGAAAAGGACAGAAAGCTACAAGACTGAAAACAATGAACAGAATGGCAACTCTAAGTCCTTCTCTATCAGTAATATTTCACATGTAAACAGATTAAATTCCCCAATCAAAAGACACAGAGAGACTGAAGGGATTTTTAAAAACCCACAAAATCCAACTATATGCCTCACAAGAAACTCATTTTAGCTGTAGGCTGAAAGTGAAAGTGTGAAACACATTCCACTGCAAATAGAAACCAAAAGAGAGCACAGATGGCCCTGCTTTCATTAGACAAAATAAACTTTAAGTCAAAACTATCAAAAGAGATTTTAAAAGACCATGAAATAATGATGAAAGGGTCAACTCACCAAAAGGGTACAACAATTATACACACAACCAACATCTGAACACCCAAACATATGAAGCAAATATTGACAGATCTGAACAGAGAAACTGCAACACAATAGTTGGGGATTTCAAAAGCCACTTTCAATATGCATAGACCATCCAAACAGAAGATCAATAAGGAAGTAGAGGACAGGAAGAGCACTGTAATCCAAATGGGTCAAACATACATATACAGAACATTCCACCCAACAGCAGCAGAATACACATTTTCAAGCACTCTTAAGAACATTCTACAGAACAGAGAGCATGTTAGGTCACAAAATGAGTTTTAACAAAAAAGATCGAAATCATACAAGGCATCTTTTCTGATCACAACAGAATAAAACTGGAAATCAAGAGCAGAAGCAAAACTGGAAAATTCACAAATAAGTGAAAATTGAACAACACCCTCACTCTTGAACTGGGTCAAAGGAGAAATCAAAAGGGAATCGGAAAACATCTTGAGACAAAAACACATCACAAAATCATGAAATTGGCAAAGAGCAGTACTAAGAGAAAATTTTACAGTGTTAACAGACTATATTCAAAGCGAAAAAAGATCTTATGAAACCATGTGAAACCACGACAGACACTAGAGTAGACTTAAAAAGAACAGAGAGGCTTAAGAACAGAGACAAAAGGCTCCCAGAAGCTGTCCGGTCAGTTCCACCTGGCAAATAGGTGACATCTGAATTGGGTTTCTCACGAAGACTGATGGGTCAACGATATTACGAGACAAGCACACAGCCGGCTCAGGCCAGGGTGGATGTAACCTGAATCTCCTACGTTGCAAGATCAACTTCTCCTTGGGTCTGCCCTTGCCTGGGCTATGTAAGGTAGATGCTTCTCTCGGTCTCCACAACTTCAGAGGAAGACAAGACACAGTTCCCACTGTGGCCTGCCCAGGAGTCTAAAAGCCCCATTCTCCTCACCCGCGCAAGAGCCGGGAAGACAGCGACCACCGCCATTTTTCCCAACCCGCATCAAAGGCCTAGGGCCCGGCCACTTCCGGACACTTTCGAATACCAGTGCCGCAGACAGCAGCGCCGAAGACTTGAGCAGGAAGATGCGTCCTCGCGTTTGGCGGAAGTGACTGTGCGTGTGACGCAGGCGGCGGGGGGGGCGGGACCTGGGGCCGAGAGCGGTTCGCGCGCTTCGGGCCTAGTCTAGACTCGCCGCCGCCGCCGCCATATTCCCGGTAACGGGGGCGCGCGGCCGGGGGCCGGCTGGGCCGGAAGAGGGTTTGGGGACGGCGCTGAGGCGGGGAGGGGGTCGGTTGAGTTTGGGGCAACCGGAATTGGCGGGCGGCGGGAGGCGCGGGCCTTTGAGGGAGGGAGCCGAAGGCGTCGGGCCGGGTCTGTGGGGAGGGAGCGGGGCGGGCCTAGCCGGGGGCGAGGACTAGGCCTGGGTGGGGAGCGGAGGTGGCTGGAGCTCCGGGAGCCGCAGGGACTTATAGCCCGGGCAGCTTGGGGCCTCGGCAGGTGCGGCGGACTGGGCCTGCGGGCTTCGCCGCTGTCGTTCTTCGCAGCGCCATCCGAGGGCCCGTAGGAGCAGAGGCCTGGACTTTGTCGTCGCGCCACGGGCAGCTGCGGCGCAGCTCCGGTCGGGCCCGAGGGTGATGGGCAGCGAGCCCCGCGAGCCCCGGTGGCCTGGGAGAGCGAGGGGCGGTGCGAGGCCGGGGGCGGGGCGGAGCGGGTGGGGCCGAGCTCGGACTGCCGGGATGCTGCGTCTCTGGAGACGGGAGGTTGGCAACCAGTGCCCTCCTTCCAGCCCGGGACCCTTTTGCCTTGTAACTCTTGCTTCTTTCTGGATACCGCAGTGGCATCTTTCTTGCCTTGTCCATTCTCCGGGCGCGAGATCTTTCTTCCGAAGCCATGTCAGAAGGAGTTGACTTGATTGATATATATGCTGACGAGGAATTCAATCAGGTGAGGAGTCCTCGGTAGCAGTGGGATTTTCCTGTATCAGCTAAGGAATCACTTGCAGCAAACTTGCAGGGGTCCGAAGCTCTTTCAGTGGTTGAAGATTTGCTCGGCCTGAACACGTCTGTCAGATCTAAAATCTTCCCTCTATCACAGACTTCCAAGACTTATGCCTATTCCGCTTTATGTCAGCTAAAGCCTCCAGGCTTACTTTTAAAAGATTTGATTTAAGAGCAATAAAAAATTAGGTTTAATAGAGTGGTATATCAACCTGTGGAACTTGCTCCTCCAGGAAGCCAAAGTTGGACGTCAGTCTCCTGGAAGACTAGCCACATTTAAAAATCAGAATTAGGTGTTCTGTAGCATTCATGAAGACAGTGTTGATAAGTGTTCCTTTGAGAGTCTCTCAAATTGCAGCTGAAGAAATGTAGTACCCCTTCCCTTCATAAGGCAGTGCAAGTATGAAAGATAACTTTAACATTTAATGTCGGTTGTTTTCCAGTTGTTTTCAGCCTTCCTTCTTTCAGGAGTAGCTTGACTCTAGTTTTGAGACGTCCATAGGTTTTTCAATGTTAGCTTTTTAGTAATAAACTTTATTGATGATGTATTTGGTGGGAGGAGGTAAAGGTATTGGACGAACCAGTTCAGAAGCAGATAGAGACCCACTCACATACTCTTGAGTTCAGTTTGTTGATCTCTTTATGATATGTCAAGAAAATTATGCAGTGATCTCCCTTGAAACAGTCATCTCACATACAGGTCAATTCTGAGCTCTTGTGATCAGATCTCAAGAATGTTCCAAAGTCTGTATTTAAAACTTAATATCCTGCCTGGATTATTTTCAGCACTATTCTACTTGAGTAAATTGGTTTTCCCATTTTCATCTTTCAATGGCTATATGTAAGGACGTATAAAGAGGATTTAAAAACAAAACCAGGCTAGAGAAGAAAAGCGAAGAAGGCAGTGGCAACTGACTCCAGTACTCTTGCCTAGAAAAGAGGCGCTTGGATGGAGGCGCTTGGTAGGCTGCAGTCCATGGGATCACTAAGAGTCAGACAGGACTGAGCGACTTCACTTTCACTTTTCACTTTCATGCATTGGAGAAGGAAATGGCAACCCACTCCAGTATTCTTGCCTGGAGAATCCCAGGGACAGAGGAGCCTGGCGGGCTGCCGTCTATGGGGTCACACAGAGTCGGACACGACAGCAGCAACTTAGCAGCAGCAGAAAAGGAAAGTGCTCTGATTGGACCCTAACTTTTTTTTTTAACTTTTTATTTTGTACTGGGGTATAGCCTGTTAACAATGTTGTGATAGGGAAGGGACTCAGCCACACATGGATCTATTCTCCACCAAACTTCACTCATATTCAGGCTGCCATAAAACATTGAGCAGAGTTCCATGTGCTGTACAGTATGGACCCTGACTTTGATATGAAGCTGCAGACAAGGTTTATATACGCTATATGTGCTGTTCCTTTCACTTGGCAAAAGTTGATCATTTTCCCATGTCTTCTCAGGCAAACTGCAGTCGTCTACATGTGGCTGCTGATTAACTTAAATACATGAAAATCTTTCTTAAAATTTCAAATAAGTCAATTATTTATGGATAAAAAGAAAGACTTAGTATATGTAGTTACAAACCATTTGCTTTCCTGAATTTTTCATATTACTTTGAATCAAGACTTTTACTACTTTTTATGTTATTTTAAATATAAGATAGCAAGAAAAAAAGGCTCCCATAATTCTTTTCTATTATTAATTTTAAAAACCTCGTTTCCCTTAATTTCATTATCTGTGGGTTGATGACAATGCTGCTGCTGATTCACTTGGGGAATGCGTAGAACAGGGAGGGTCCTTGACCACATGTCTAGCCACATGTGAGATTTCATAGTTTCTTTTTTTTTTTTCATAGTTTCTTAAGCAGTATAGCTTGTTGGTCATAGACAAGACATAGGTCTCATCCACTGAGTTGTTGGTCTCAACAATTTGGTCTCTGGTCTCCTCAGTTAAACAGGACTTTTTTGTGTGAAATCAAGTAGATATTTGTACCACAATGACAATTTGGTACTTGGTTAAGTTGAAGAAAGTATAGATTTTAAATGTCTTATGTCCTGGGGAAGGTCAGGAAAGGATGCTTTTTTCCCCCACAAATGAGTTAATTTTTAGCAAAGCAGGTTTTAGTAGAATTTGGAAGCTGCTGGAGAAGTGGTAAAAGCTCTGTTTGACTGGAACTTTTAGAAGTAAGCTTAGATTGAAGGCTGCCAGTACAGATTATGTTTTAGAATGTTATAGGAATGTTACTAATTCACCCCAGTTCACCCCTGCACAAGAACCTTGTCATGTGTACTCTGCTCCCCAGGGGAAATAAGCTCTGTTCCTAGATGGAACCCTGTGGTGCTGACTCCAGATCTATTACTATATGTGCTGCAAAAGCCTTTTTTTGCAGAGCTACTTCACTCCTGTTAGGGAGGAAACCTTGGAGTTCTAAATAGGGGCGCTCTTGGGCTGAGGAGAACAACTCGAAAAGTGAGTGAAAGCTGCCATCCCTGCTGAGTGTTTTTTCTCTTTTCTGTTTCTTGCACTGAGACAGGCACTTTGCACAGTATAGTATGCTCAGTTTCCTCCTTACTTTCATCAGCAAATAGTTACTGAGCTACTTCTGTTTGCTAGGCATTGTATTAGAACTGGTGAGATAAAAGGGGGAAAATGGAGTTGTGTGCTCAAAAGAGGTTCCATGCCTGGTGATCGACAGCAGTGTCCAGTGATAGGGAAGGAGAGTGAGGTGAGAACTGTGGGAAGAGTAACCACAAAGCCAGGAGCACTGAGCTTTGGTTACAGTTACAAGAAACTTGTGTCACATAGGTTGCTTTCAGAAAAAGCTTTATTACTGCGTCTTCCCTGGTGGCTCAGACAGTAAAGAATCTACCTGCGGTACAGGAGGCCTGGGTTCGATCCCTGGGTCAGGAGATCCCCTGGTGAAGGGAATGGAAACCCACTCCAGTATTCTTGCCTGGAGAATTCCATGCACAGAGGAGCCTGGCAGGCTAGAGTTCATGGGGTCCAAAAGAGTCCGACACGACTGAGTGACTGACGCTTTAGATATCAGGAAAGGGCTGGCAAGTAGGAACATTGAGCATTCAGGTGGGGAAGTTCTTATTTAAATTCAAAATCATGCAAGTTCTCTTTTGTAAACCAAGAAGCTTCCTGAGACAATCACAGCTGTTCCTCTTCTATAAAATACAAACTTCTCCCTGGTATTAATTCAGTATTAAATACATCTTTTTTAATCTCCTTGAAATGAAATCTTTGACATCAATGCCTGTAAAATACTATATTTTTCATTTAATTGTAGAATTAGATTTTGCTTTAACTGCATAAATCATGAACTCATTTGGTAAGAAAAACCTCAGGTCCTTACCTGTTTTCCTGTCTTAGCCCCTTGATGTTGCTAGCAGATTTAGATGCAAATACAACTTGATACATTATTTCTTCAACAAAATCTTCAACAGAATCCTCAATAGGTCTGCCTTATGCATCAGATCAGTTCCTACAAAATTCTTTGAACTGAGGCTCTATGGCCCAGAGAGACCATTTGAATCTTGTGACAGTTTTGCATTCCTTGAATCCTTTTGCATTTCTTAAGGTGGTAAAATAATCCATACACCAGAGTCTTCTGGGATTGAGACTGTCATATTCTCTAAGGAACTCTGAAAGAGTAGATTGTTCACTGAGGCTTACAGTATGGGTGATTTCCTGGTGATACCTTTGATCTCTGAGCTGCCCATGTCTGCATGTTCACTACTTAGTTATCAGCAATAGTCTTTGTATTACAACGTTTGGACATGCATCTCTGAATCACAGATGCTTCATGGAACGAATGCCAGTTTGGTTCCACTGACCATTCAAGATCGTGAGTTTCCTTATTTAAGTTCCGTTTCACAATCCTTGATTAATTTAAAAAAAAGGTACCCTGGTTTAAAGTAGTGTTGTTTTAGGATAAGAGCATTGAAGAGGTTCAAGTGGTTTCTAAGTCTTCTTTCTACCTTGAACCGTAAGAGCAAATCATATGTAGTGCATAAATAAATAAATGATTTGTCTAGAGTTAGGATTGTTTGAGACTTAGACTGTCAAATATTTTACACACAAAA